AAATGTGCTTCTGGAAGAATGTTCAAACCTTCCTATAGACACCCTCCTAAACCTTGTGGACAGCCTTCCCAGAAGAGTTGAAGCTGTTATAGCTGCAAAGGGTGTGCCAGCTCAATATTGAACCCTACGGACTAAGACTGGGATGCCATTAAAGTTCATGTGCATGTAAAGGCAGGCGGCCCAATACTTTTGGCGCTGTAGTGTACATTAGTAGAGTAAACATGCAGTATAGAATGTGTCCATGTGGAGGAGTATAATCCAGAATCCCAGCAATGTAAGGCACTGTGGTGGGGATATACTATATATACAATGATTTCACACACTATGGATGATGGAATACAGTATATTGTGTAACAAATATAAATCAAAAGTGCAGCATGGCCCGATTTCTACCAATTGTGCCTTTCAGTGCATTATCTTTTTTGGGTTTATTAACACAGTATATTGACTCGCAAAAATCACGTTTCAAAGAATATCAAATCAGGCAGAAGAAAAGTTAAGCAGAAACGGGATTCCTCATTCCATCATCTGCTAGTTGTTAGACCAACTGCCATCCATCTTTTTTTTGTTTCTTAAGGTCCATCCTTTGACCCAGCACTGATACCTGGTTCTCATACTATAATAACATACTATATGTTTTCAATTTTGTTTTGTCATATTGGCCAAATGTTGTGGTTATTTGTTAACTGCATTCTTGCATCAAAAAATAAATAAATAAATAACAGAAACTGGATTTTTGCTTGCACATAATTGGATGATTGGTAGTCACCCCATTCACTAGACTAGTGAAAGGTCACTTTTGTAAAGCAAACATACTCTGCTTCTTTAGTAAATCAGCCTTATTGAAGCTATCACCATCTACCCGCCTTAAAGTTTCACTACAAGATAATACAACGTTCTTGGAAACAGCAAATATAAAACAAATATACACTTACCGGCCACTTTATTAGGTACACCTGTTCAATTGCTTGATAACACAAATTGCTAATCAGCCAATCACATGGCAGCAACTCAATGCATTTAGGCATCTAGACGTGGTGAAGACGACTTGCTGAAGTTCAAAACCGGGCATCTGAGTGGGGAAGAAAGGGGATTTAAGTGACTTTGAACATTCCATGGTTGTTGGTGCCAGACAGGCTGGTCTGAGTATTTCAAAAACTGCTGATCTACTGGGATTTTCACACACAACCATCTCTAGGGAAACTGAGACTCATCAGACCAGGCAACGTTTTTCCAATCTTCTATTGTCCAATTTTGGTGAGCCTGTGCGAATTGTAGCCTCTGTTTCCTGTTCTTAGCTGACAGGAGAGGCACCTGGTGTGGTCTTCTGCTGCTATAGCCCATCTGCTTCAAGGTTTGGTGCTGCTTAAGGAGCTCAGAGAGCTGAAGGAGGAGAAACAGCAGTATATTGGTCTCCCCAGTAAATGGCTGTTCAGGAGGGGTCATGTCAGCACAAGGAGAGCAGGCTAAATTCTCAGTAATTCTGGGTTGACATATTCTTTATATTAGCTGGTGATTTTTATGTTATGGATGTACCTCTTTGCTGGAAGGGGCAATAGGGAGGAGGTTCGAGGTGGAATATAGCCACCATCCCAACACCTTTGTTTACAAACCAGATATAAGTAAAGAATCTGTCATTTCGGCAAGAAGTAGAAATGGGAGCAGACATGTTGGCAGGTCTGTCGTTTTGTTGCTATCTTTTTGGACAAGATATCTGCATCGCTAGATGACGTGATTGACAGTGTATTTATATCGTGGGACATTTTTAGGATTTTATTTTTAAATAAAGAACTTGTCAAAGTGTTTGGTGGGTTTATTTACTTTTAACTTTGTTTGTGCAATGAAGGGATACTACATACCCCTTATCCATGTGGGGGTGGATATCTGGAGGTCCCCTTATTTTAAAGGGGGCTTCTAGATTTCCTATTGCATACCCCCATATCCACTGGTCAGGGATGTGGGGAAGAGGCCCATGTCCTCAGAAACACTGGGTCAAGGTGCTTTGCCAGGAGGGTCCATTGAGGACATGTGGCCTGGTATTTTTTTTTTTAGTCTTGCTGTAAAATGTGCTACAGCAAAAACTATATTTAAAAAAAATGTGAGTAATTTACATTTCTCTGATGTCTTTTTGTGGAAAACAGCATGGAGACCCCCCCAACAGATCCTGTATGTATTCTGGATTTTGGTTGGGAGGGTCCTCGTTCCATTTTTTACAAAGAAAACCAAGCTGCCAGGGAAATGTAATTTACTGGCAATTTAAATTGTATGTTTGTTTTTCTTTGTAAATGTCAGTGCTGTGGTACATTGTATACATCGAACTAGTAAGACACTTTGCAAACAGGTTAATGGCATCTCCCAAATATGTTGCCTAAAGGAATTTTGCATTTTTAATGTTGCTGCTCCCCACCAAATGGTAGTATGTAAAAAAAAAAAGTTGCATTAGTACATATCCCCAAGGGCAGTTCACTAGGGTTTAGATTTATGTTTGAACTTGTGAGCTGTTTGGAGAACTTCCAACAAACTGAATGCAGGTAAACTTGGCTACCTACTACGTACCTACTTCTACTACTTTCTTTAACTTTTTTATTGTTCTATAAATCATTCTATCCGCAAATTATTTCCCTTCTTTCTTATTTCCTTATCACTATCCTATCTATCTATCTATCTATCTATCTATCTATCTATCTATCTATCTATGCTAGAATTCATAATCAAAAGAGATCTGTTGAGGTCTAATCCGGGCCTCCAGATCACAGAGTTTTACCACCTGTCAACCAAAGTGAAAAGGGTGGCGGTGAAATGACCCACACTGGGAATGAGCCAGGTGGCTGCAAGGTACATTTAATTTCATGGCTAAGAAGCTGTGAACAACTATTTCCCAAATGACCGTGGTGATTTGTACAGCTGTCTGTGTAGACTGGAAGCTGTAACATGTATTGATTATAGTCAAGTTTAGCACTGCCAAAAAAGGCATGGGATCACATAACAAAATATCTTATCAAGCACAGAAATATAAGAATATTCTGAGACACTCCAGAGATCAGCAGGGGCATTGGTCACTATAATACATATCCAACCCGTGTGACGGTCTTTCTGTGTAATTCTCAAGCCCTCAAGACCACTTAAAATTTTATTGTAACTTTTCTAAATTGTTTGAAGTAAAAGAGCTACTAAAGCATTCACAAGTGTGAGTGAAATATGAATAAAACATCACAGAGATCGCTGATGTTTAGGCAACTTTGCTTCACAGCCTACTGTTCTACAATTGGTGCCTTTTAGGCAAAAGTTGCTTCCAAAATATGTCTTAAAATATTGCTCCCTTCAATACCACAATTAGTTTAGAGCAATTATGTAATCTGTGTGGCAAAATGATAAATGTTAGCCCCTTGAAATGTGAATTTAGTTAAAGGGGGTGTTGGCCACTATCTCTTTGATGATCCAAAGAAACCTTGTCCCTGCTATGTTGCTGGTTTGGTTCCAGCGTTTGCGTTTTGAATGCTCCTACCCACCTTGGGATGTTCCTACCCATCCTGTTGTGTTCTCCTTAGTTTAAAATAATTACATATTTTCCTAATGGGTGAGGTCCTGGAAGCTCAAACAAAGAGATCTCACCAGAGTCCCTGAGTGACAATAGAATATTCTAAAAGGAACCCTGCTGTAAGAGAAATATGGAGGCGGTATTGTAGAGTTCTCCTCCTTAAAATGCTAGCTACCTGACCTAGCTACCTGACCATTATGCTAGCCTCTGGGCTTATTTATTTGAGCCACTGATAACAATTTTTTACTTTTCTCTGACTTTTTTGTACCTGTATACTTTGCCTTGTAATGTATTAGTTACATAGTTAGTTTGGCTGAAAAAGACAAAAGTCCATCCAGTTCAACCATAAAAAAAAAAAGTTATAATCCTATACCCACAGTTGATCCAGAGGAAGGCAAAAAAAAAAAAACCTAACAAAGCATGATCCTATTTGCTTCTGCTTGTAAAAAAATTCCTTCCTGATCCCCTGAGAGGCAATCGGATATTCCCTGGATCAACTTTACCTATAAATCTTAGTATCCAGTTATATTCTGTGTATCTAAGAAAGAATCCAGGACTTTTTTGAAGCAATCCACTGAGCTGGCCAGAACTCTTGAGAGAGTCTATTCCACATTTTCACAGCTCTCACTGTAAAGAAACCTTTCCGTATTTGGAGATTAAATTTATTTTCCTCCAGACGTAAAGAGTGCCCCCTTGTCCTCTGTGATGACCTCAAGGTGAATACATGTTGATCACATCCCCCCCTAATCTCCTCTTCTCAAGAGAGAATAAATTCAGTTCCTCTAATCTTTCCTCATAGCTGATCTCCTCCATGCCTTGTATCAGTTTAGTTGCCCTTCTCTGTACTTTCTCCAGTTCCCCAATGTTCTTTTTGTGAATTGGTGCCCAAAACTGAACTGCATATTCCAGATGAGGTTTTATTAAAGTTAGTGTAACTGCAAAATTGCAGGAAAAGAAAGGAGTTTAGAAATGGCAGCCCCCTCATTTTGTTCACATTAGGTTTACTTTAAATCTCCAGCATATTACCAAATGGGGAAAACTGTTTTGGATTGCATGCACCTTTAGTAAATGTAAAAGGTGCTTATGTGGGTATGTCCAGATGAGGATTTCCCAACTAGGGTTTCATGGAACCGTAAGCTTTCTCCAGAGGTTGCCCGAGGTTCCTTGAGCAATTTCTGTCCTATACATAAGTTCTCACTGACACCATTGATATTTTTTGCTATCTTTAAGGGGGTAGTTCTTCCCACTGACCATCACACTAATGTATCATGAGTTGTAGATATAATAATTATTGGCAGGGGTTCCCTGAGTCCAGAAAGTTATTTTAAGGGTTGTGGAAATAGTTGAGAAAGGCTGGTCCATTATTATGTTTTGTGTTGTGTTGTAAGATTAACATGGACACTAACACAGGGCTTAAAATTTCAGGTCCTGAGCTACTAGCCAGGCCTTTAGAGTTACTTGCCACCAAGAAACACACACAAACAGAGACACCTGTACACATACACAGACATGTACACACACACACACACACACACAGAAACATGTAAACACACGCACAGAGACACATGTACACATACACACATACAGACATATGTATACACACACAGGAACGTACAGACACGCATACTCACAGATACATGTACATACACAGAAATACACACGCACAGACACATGTACATACATACACAGACACATGTTCATACATACACAGACACATGTACACACAGACACATGTATGTACATACACACACACATGTACATGCACACATACACAGACACATGTACACACACACAGACACATGTACACACACACATACCTGTACATACACGCAGACACATGTACAGATACACACATGTACATACACACAGACACATGTACACGTACACACACACACCCATAAAAAGTTGCAGTGCTTCGTTGTTCACTCACAGATCCGGGTACTGCACTCTAGGGGGAGGCAGAGAGCACAGCACACACTCCTTGCTTTGCTTTCCCTGCGCTCAGCTATTTAGCAGTCTGACGGCTCCCAGTGCCAATGACAGATCCGGCCTGAGCTCCGAGCCTGCTCAGCATGACGGCCCTGGGGGACACACTCGCCCCCACCATAATTTCCACTCGCCATTGACGAGCAAGCGAGTGGAAATTTCAAGCCCTGCACTAACAGAATCAGATTAAATTGCCCAAACAGTTGTCCCTGCACATATTTTCTCGACACCAAACGCTGCTCCATTAAAAAGAAATCGTCCAGTAAACTCTATTTCAAAACTGACACTTCTTGTAGTGTCATGTTCTGTAATCTGATGTGCTCAGTGGTTCCGCCTGCTGACCTCCACTTAACTACAGGACACAGGAGTGACATGGAGGTCAGCGGGAGGAACCAATAAATACTGTAGGGGCCAGAAGATTGACACAACTGGAAGTGTTGGTAACTGAACAAACTTTAGTAGACAATTAGTAGACAATTTCTTTCTGGCATCAGCAACTGGACAGGCAAGTATTCACTCTGTTCTTTAGCAGGGACAGCACTATGGCCAATTTTATTTTCACAGCAGGGTCAGTTTAACTAATTAATTGCAGTATGTCAAAATGCTGTCTTGCTAAATCTAATATAAAATAAATATGGAGGTTGTCATTGCTGGCCTCCTGAATTGCAAGTTTATGCTGCTGATGCATTAGCACAATCTGAGTCACCAACGTGGAACAATGAAGATGAGCCATACTTAAACAAGGTTAGGTGGAAGCCTAGGGTTTCTCAAGAGGTTGTTAGGGGCTGTGGTTGACCTCCCATTTTATGGTGCCTGCATACCAATGCCACTTGACAAAGCCTGTAGATGATGCCAATTATGTTTTTAGCTGTGTGTAAGGGTAGCATTTTGACCACCACTGTAGAAGTTGCAATCCTCCAACGGACCACCAATGTTGGAGGCATATTTGTCATTGACCCCCCAATTGATTTGTTTTAGTAAGGTTCACTTAGGCCTGAAAATTATTTTAGGGGTTCCTCTGGGGTTGAGAAACAATGATGTAGATCATGAGCTATGACCAATTTACTCACACTTTTTCTGTTCTGAAAGTCTCTTGAATTTCTAAGGAGATTGATTTTCGACAAAGTCCAAACTTTGAGAAAAAGCCAAACTACGATGGTCACATACACTGACATCTGCAATCATCAGCTTGGTGAATTAAAGTTCTTGTCTGGATTGATTGTTGGCATAGGAATGTTACGAGGGTAGGCTGTGGTGGATTTAGCTGTGACATGTATTAGTTTCTCCCTAAGTATATGGTGTGAAAAGACGGATGTGCACAGAAGAAACTAAGAAGTTCCTTCTCATCCTCCGATTTCTCAAAACATCACTGCTGGTTACTTCTGTTGTCACTACAGTCTAATCTACCCACACTGCCAACAGACCTACGTTTGCCATCTGTGCCTTTTATACATGTATGTAGAATAGATTCATAAAATCAGTTTGCCCCACTACATTGTTATTTCAGTTTCAAAATAATGAAACCACCTTCCCCCAAACCCTAACACTTGTTTTGAACTGTTGGCAACTGTAATGGCATGATGAATACAAGAAGGGCAGGAGTTTTAATATGAAGTGTACTATGAATAGCTTAAAGCCCAACTCTTGGCATTTTTGTTTCTTTATGGTCCTCCAACCAGCTGTTGAAAAAGCAGCTCTGGCTATAGTACTCACCTTCACTTCACTAGTTAACAGTTTCTGCCACTAGATGTCCTCAGTTTTCAGGGTTGAATGACACCCAGTATATCCTGTGAATGCAGGGTGTCATGGTCTCTCCCCACCACCACCATCACCACCACCGTGAGGGGGTGTACAACAGATCCTTGCATTCACAGTGTCAAAAGACATGCTGGTAGGTGAATTGGCTCCTGTCTAAATTGGCCCGTGTATGTATGAATGTGAGTTAGGGAGCTTACATTGTATGCCCCTTGAGGGTTAGGGACTGATGTGAATGTACAATATATAAGTAAAGAGCTGCGTAAATTATCGGCGCTATATAAGTACCTGAAATAAATAAATAATGATACGGACAACAGTGAACACTTCAATGAGGCCCAAAGACACAAAATGGAAGGGGGGGGGGGTCGAGGAGCCAAGAGGAGGGATCATGGAATTGGGCTTTAAAGTGGCACTCCAGCCAAAACTTTCTGTTAAATTTTGATTGACCCAAAAGACTGGGTTTTTATTATTTATTAGGAGATTTATTATTAAAACTGGGATAGTTCAAATACAAAGGCTATGTTATTCTTTCAAATCTGTGCTGTAATCTGGAATGACACTTTGCCCCTGTCCAGAAGCTTCCTGTAATAAAAGACCAATCATGGCTGTTGTCTCTTCTTGTGCAGGGTGACTGGTCTGTCTCCGCCCTCTACTGTAGTATTTTGCAGGAAGCCTGTAGTGGGTGGAGCTGTTGGGTCTCTCCCACAGCTTTGATCCCTGCACAGACTATGTGCAGCACAATGATAATGTCACTGCAGAGTGACCTTCTGTCTTTATATGTTTATTTATTACAGGGACTTATACAGTGCCAACAATTTACGGAGCGCTTTACATATATAGTGCACATTCACACCAGTCACTGCCCTCAAGCAGCTTACAATCTAAGGTCCCTATCTCACATTCACATATACTAGGGCCAGTTAACCTACCAGCATGTCTTTGGAGTGTGGGAGGAAACTGGAGAAACCAGAGGGAAAACCACACAGGCACAGGGAGAACATGCAAACTGCAGGCAGGTGGTGCTGTGGTTGGGATTCGAACCGATGACTCTAGTGCTGTCTTTCTTTAGCACAGCTGTACTGTTTGCTGGAAAGCCTTAGACGTTAATTGTTTTCTCCTGTTGCTTTAAATGGTTCTTTTATCTGTCCTTCTCAACAGCAATGAGGCAAGCAGGTTTCACTATTACACTTCCAATCACAAATATAACTACTGCAGGAAACAGATGACTCTAATGACCAATGGATATTTAGCAGGGTACTGAAGAAACGTGTGTTGGATGACATTGTGCAATACTATACATTTGACATTGTAATTGGTTATTGCTCTTGGATAGTTAGGACTTTTGGATTTAACATTGAAGACATGAATTTTAAGGAGTCAAAGTGATGACATTTTGAAAATTAAAAAAAAAAAAAAAAGTTCACGTGTGATTATGGACACCTTTGTATATAATTTTACTTGTATGGAACTACCCAGCTGTGGAACAGCGTTCAATTCATATATTATTATTATTATACAGGATTTATATAATGCCAACAATTTGCTCAGCAGTTTACATTATAAAGGGAGACAATACAGCAACAATACAGTTCAATGCAAGAGGGATAGGAGGGCCCTGCTCCTTGGAGCTTACAATCTAAGAGGAAGAGGCTGGTAGTACAAAAGGTCATACCTGTGGGGGATGAACTGATAGGAGATATAGAAGATTCAGTTATTAGCTGAAGGCAGGATAGACTTCCCTGAAGAGATAGGTTTTCAGAGATTGCCTAAAAGTGGGCAAAGTAGGCGATAGTCTGACAGATTGGGGTAGAGAGTTCCAGAGAATAGGGGAGGCTCTGGAGAAGTCAGATAAAGCCAGAAAATAGACTTTAAGACTCTCTTCACACCTATGAGTAATAACGCACGTATTATGATACCTTAAAATGTATGTTGCTTGGCATCCCATTGTTTTTAGTAGATCTGATTAGCATATATTGCGCTGCATCTCCAGTGAATTTTTTCATCCATCGATGTGTATCGCAGAAGTCCATTGGATTGCATGAAAACTCATGTGCTGGAAATGCATGGCTACTGTGTTCCACTCCAGAGAACAGACCATGTCCTTTTGGCCATACTACATTTGGAATATGAAAACTCTTCTCACAACATCTTGGCTGCTGATCATTTAATTCGAGAAAACATACTATAAAATTGAAAAATGCCTGAGAAAATGTATGAAAACAGAAGGACATATGTGTGACCCCAGTCTAAGTCTTTACATTTTCACTGAAAAAAACTTCAGTTTTTTTAGAGCTGGTTCACACCATAAAAGGTGCATCTGAGCACGCCTGTTTTTGCGCCTTCCTGCGCAACACGTGTAGGACAGCCCATTCATTTCAATGGGCTGCCAAATGCCCGTGGACGCACAAAAGGTACACATGAATGATTTTTAAAATTGTGCTGTACTAAATTGCATGGTACTGTGGTACCATGCATTTTGGTGGGCACAAATGCACCTGCCATGCCATGAATTCTTAATTAATCTGCAAGGGGCAAAGCGTTTCCATGTGGTGCAGGAAAATGCACACTCACGTGTGTTCCTGCACTGCAAGTGATATGAACTAACCCTGAATGCTCCTGCAAAACGCTGCCATATTAACATGATTGCATTGCTTTTACATGCAGTGGCCTAAAAAATGTGCATGATCCTTTACAACAGAGGTCTTCAAACTTTCTAAACAAAGGGCCAGTTTACTGTTCTTCATGCTTTAGGGGGGCTGGACTGTGGCCAGTGGAAGAATAAAATGGCGTGATGTCAGTGGGAGTAAGGAATGTCTCATTCATTGGTATCAATAGGAGGAATAGTACCCCGTTACTGGTATCAATGGGAGGAGACGTGCCCCTTCATTGGTATGAATGGGAGTTATAGTGCACAATTGTTAGTATCAATGAGAGGAATAGTGCCCCATCATTGGTATCAATGGGAGTCATAGTGCCCTATCGTTAGTATCAATGAGAGGAATAGTGTCCCACCATTGGTATCAGTGGAAGGAATAGTGCCCCATCATTGGTGTCAGTGGAAGGAATAGTGCCCCATCATTGGTGTTAGTGGAAGGAATAGTGCCCCATCATTGGTGTCAGTGGAAGGAATAGTGCCCCATCATTGGTATCAGTGGAAGGAATAGTGTCCCATCATTGATGTCAGTGGAAGGAATAGTGCCCCATCATTGGTATCAGTGGAAGAAATAGTGCCCCATCATTGGTATCAGTGGGAGGAATAGTGCCCCATCATTGGTGTCAGTGTAAGGAATAGTGCCCCATCATTGGTATCAGTGGAAGGAATAGTGCCCCATCATTAGTATCAGTGGAAGGAATAGTGCCCCATCATTGGTATCTTTTGGGAGGAATAGTGTCCCATCATTGGTGTCA